GGTCGCTCTCTGTTCAAAATAATAGTCGTCAATATTTGAGGAATTGTTTTGCCTGGGAATCGTTTGCCCGCAGCCAGGGGCCTGTCCACTAGCCTTTTTATGGTCGTTCCACGCCTTTTTATGGTCGTTCCACGGTTTGTCCATGCTTTGTCCACGGCTCATGCTTTTCAAAGAAAACCATGTTTTCATCACAATACTTGCACCGCGCGCATGCAGCCCGTGATTTGAAGAGTGAAGGCACGGAAAAAGCGAGCAACACAATGACAATTCGCACACACACACTATCCAGCCGGCAAAGCGGGGCTTGGCGGCACCAGCAGGTTCTGCAGGATTCGGTTCCAAGATAGTCCAATTGATCCACATAAAGTAGCCGGGGCCGCGCGCATGGTGTTCAAAGATTCCTGTGGTCTCCGCTTGAAACTACTTTGCCTTACCAAAGCTCACGCAGCTAACATGGCTCTACAGGGCTCGAAGTATTTATTCCATTTGTCTCAAATCCCAGTGCACAAGATCAGACATGTGCGCCGATGGAAATACGATGCATTGAGCGTTGCGATTCAGCCAAAAACCGAAGGGAAGAGAAGAAAAAGACTGGAAGCAAAGCCAAAGCCAATGAAAGCAAAAGCAAACGCAAAAGCAAGCCAAGGGAAGGGAAGGGAAGGCAAGGGAAGGGAAGAAAGGGAAGGGAAGGGAGGGAAGCGAAGGCAAGACAAGGCAAGGGAAGGAACGACAAGGAAAGGAAAAGAGAGAAAGGAAAGGAAAAGGAAGGACAAAAAGCAACGACAAAAACAAAGGACGGCAAGGACAGGGAAGGGAAGGCAATAAAAATGAAAGTGCCAAAAGAAAAGCCCTGCAAAAGAAAAGCCCAGCCGGCCCGTCCCACCTGGCCTGCTCCAGTCAAGCAGCTGCGGCCTGGGCAATGTGGAAGGGGAGGCAAGGCGTGAAGACAACAGGGGAAGGGGAAGAAAGGGAAGGAGCGTGACAGGACAAAGAAAGGGGAATGCCTACAAAAAAAGAGGCAAGGACAATGACAAAACAGGACAAGGGAAAGGGCACGGCGGAGAAAAAGAACAAGATAAGGACAAGGGCAATATGGAGAAGGAAAAGGATTTGGGAAACAACAGGGAAAGGGGCGGAAAGGAAAGACAAGAGAAGGACAGGGAAGCAATGGGGTGTAAAGAACAATCATGGCAAGAAAGAACAAAGAGGAAAGGACTGTGAAGGAACAGCATGATAAAATCCAGAGAAGATATGGGAAGAGCAAAGAAAGGAAAGGACAAGGACAGGAAAGGGCAGGAAATGGGAAGAGAAGGGAAGGGAAGGGGCCAAGGAAAGGCAAGGACATGAGAAACCAAGTAAAAGCAAAAGGAAAGGACAGGACAGGAAAGGGAAGAAAGGGCAAGCAAAGGACAGGACACCGCAAGCCAAGGAAAGAACATGACATGACAAGAGGAGAGAAAAGATGGCAAGGAAAGGAAAGAAAGCCACACCCAGCCCCGTCCCATCCCCTCTGGCCTGGCACCTGTCAGGCCGCTGCAGCCGAAGCAGTGCAAAAGAAAGTGGGGATATTGGGAGAACAAAAAGCTGCAAAACCTGGCACCTGCATGCCTACCTAATTGGCGCACTGCGCATTGCTTGGATTTTTCTTGCAGGGAAGAGTTCTCCTCAAGCGGCGGCAGCTTGCGCCAAAAGAAACTGTGGCCCCTTGGTGTCCATTCAAGATTGGGGCCCGCTTACTTTGCCATTTGCAAGCTGCTGCAAAATGCTGCAAAATGCTGCAAAACAGCCTGCAGGCCTGTGAAACAGCCTGCAGGCCTGCTGGCCAAACATGCGAAAATGCAACGCTGCCACTCTCACGCATACATCACCATTCGCCAGAAGGGCTCAGGAATGGAATCATTCGACACCTGCCAGCGACCCACAGTTCTGGCTGCATGTTGTGAAAACACGCAAGCCAGCATAGACATGACTGGCCGGCGTTGGGACCTTCCAGAAGGCTCATGCGACCTCACCAAGAAAAAACGGGCATTCCTTTGAGGGCCCATGGACTGCCTGCAATTGATTCAATATTTGCTAAGTGGCATCTCAAGGAGGCAGGCCAGCAGGACTGTAGAGCCAGGCTCAGACAGAACAACCATGCGGTCCACTTGCGCACTTGCCTTGGACACCCGAAACTGCCAAGCTCCATGCCAACTAAGAGCGCCAAGCAGCATGAAGGACGGCTGCTTGATGCTGTCCACCCTCTGATTGAACCAGTTTGGGTAGAGGTTCGTCTCGAAGCTGTCATTCTTGGGGATCCAGGTCTGGTTAGTCCCAGCGGCCATCCTTCTGGCGCCTGGCATCAGAAAGGGCCAGGCGACCCATGCCCAACCAGCATGCAACCCCCCTGTCCTGCACAACTTCATGTGCTTCACGGGCTCCAACTCATCAGGCTCCCCATTGGCTTGCAAGGACCTTTTAAAGGGACCTTGGAGTGGACAAACCAGCTCCAAGTCTGACCAGGCAGCCAGAGCATCTCCTTGCCTGAACGCACACACAACTCACATTCAGGCCAGCAGGCTGCCTAGGAGCAGAAACTGCCTGTCTTGGCCGGACCTAGTGTACTTCTCATCCTGCAAGTGCAGGCGCAAACCATAAGGGGCCTCATACTTGCTGCTTGTCCAACCAGTCCACCAAAGACTCCTGCGGCAACAGAAAAGAAGAGGAAAAGTTGGACAAACACTGGAGGGGGGGCAAGGATTCGAACTGACCAGAAAATGAGCAGAAGCAAAACAACTCAATGTTAAACGCAAGGTGAGGCTGAACAAGTAGCAATGAGAGGCAATGAGCAATAGCAGGAAAAACTCAAACTGACTCCTGTCCTGTGGCCTGCTGTCGCTTGCTTGCTGGATAATGTACTCCACTGTGAAGTTTGGCGTCTCCATGGCTGCTTTCAAAGCAAGCTGCTAGATCTGGGCCGGTGTGGTCCGCGCGGTAAAGCACTCGCCTGTAGGCCTGCTCCAAGCCTGTTGAATGAAAGGCCTGTGTCATGCTGGCCTGCTGACCTGCTGGCCTGCCCAAACTGGCCAATGAAAGCAGCCAAACCACAACAAAGTCTTGTGAAATATAGTGTTCTTGTTGGCAAATCCCCAAAAGCACCTAAATGCAGGGCTCACCACTCACCGTTTTCCATGTTTGCCACAAAATGAACTTTCCCTGCATATTTTCATGTGTTTATAGAAAATATGCATTTTTCATGGATTTTACTGGTTTTTAAGGTGGTGGGCCAGGGTGTCCTAGGAACCGTGTTGCAAGACGGGCTCCTTTGTAAGACAATTCCAAGACACTTCAAAACACATTAAAAAACAGACTCTTCCCTTCCCCCTTCAACCACCTCCAGACCCCTGGGTGCCCAGGCTGGCCAGCTCCAGCGGGCTGCTCGCGGAAAGGTTTACAGCCTTCAGGCCTGTGCACCTGAAAGGCCTGGGATAGGCCTGAGGAGGCCTGGCAGGCCTGAGACAGGCCTGGGGACAGGCCTTGCTACCCATCCCACCAGATCCTAAAAGCTCAAGAATTCCTCCCAGTAAATCCCCCAAAACCCCCACAAACTGGTGTTTAACTTTACCTGTGTTTCAGTTACCTTGCCTCCACCTTCCGGGTCATGCCGAGCTCATGCGTAAGCTGCAACAGGGTTCACCAAAAGAGCGAAGCTCTCGAAGTACTTTTTGGGTTCCGCTTTTAGCACTCAATGCCCTTGCAAGAGCAAACAACGAAAGATGCTCACCAACTTTTCACCCGCATTGGCGACAGCAGGCTCTGGGTCAAAATCAATGGTACCATTTCGGGGTAGGTGCACTACCCACTTTGGTCTGTTTCAGTGGGGAGATTGGGATGTTCACTGGGGGTACGATTCGGCTTTTGACCCATGGCCAGCAAGCAACTTGTGAGATTAATTGTCAGATTCTCCACCGGAAAAGGCCAGTTGTTGTGCTTCCGGATTGGAACTGGTTTTCGACGGGCATTTTTTTTCCAAATGCATCCTGTGCTTCGACTCGGACTGCTTGCATTAGTCAAAGTCGTTGCGGGACATCTTGGACACGTTCTTTGCGGGACCCGCAAGTTTCAAGCCACTCAGCAACTTTTGAACCTTCCGCGCAACTGATGGGAAGAACCGACGCCGGAAAAAGCTTTGTGCATGACATTGGGAAAGAAAACCCTGAAGGCTCGCGGAGGTGAGTCGTGTCGTGTCTCTGGACAAGAAAGCAGTTGACCGTCGCAATTGTTCTTCAGTTTCATCAGCCTCCATTTGGTTAAGAACATTTTTTTCTCTTCCCCTGATGGCTTTTAGAGGGAATCTACCACTAGTGTTGACCCCGGATTTATAAACCCCTGTTTATTACTATGGGGGTCTTCCCCTCCGAAAGTGATAAGTTTCCACTAAGACTAGGGACACCCCCATATTGATAAACAAATGTTTTTTAATCCGGGGTCAACATTAATGGGCATTTTTTAAATTTTTCCCAGGGGACTCGAGCACGCAAAAGGAGGTCCGCCTCCGGCAAGGGTTACGGGGTTCCAGCGCGGTTTTTTTGGAGGCATGGAAGCTGGTACAGCGATACCGAGGCATAGGCTAGGTCCCCCAGCTACCTTTTTTTGGTTGGGAGCATTCCCCTGCTAAAATAGACTACAGAAAAAGTTGGTACCCTTAGTCTAACCTCTCTACTGGAGGACTTCGTGTTGCCAAGGAAAGGATTTCATACTCATCCTAGAAATGTATTCATGCTGATGAGCGGCGAACCCCGGGAATCTCGCTTTGGTTTCCCCCGAACACCCCGGAAAGCTCGCTTTTACAAATCTGAACCGAACTGAGCGACCAAAATTGCTAGGATCTCGGGTTTACTCACCAAATTCTGTGAATTTGAGTTGGGGACCCGGTGGGGTGGGGATGTATGTCCAGCAACCATTTTGGAAGGGAGTTGCCGATTGAAATTCATGGGCAGCTTTGGGCGCTCAGTTCGCAGGATGGCACACCTTGGCCCTGCCGCTTTCCCAGCTGCCAACTTCCAGTCACACACAACCCCGCACGGGGGACCCCACAGGACGGGGACGCGGCACACGGATTGCAAAGCTTGGTCTAAGGGAAAATCGAAGAAACGTGCAGTTTTGGGGGTTCCCCTATTTTGACTAGGTCCCCCAGTAGTGCCCTTTTAGCCTTTTCTGGGGAAGGGAGGGTTCCCCTTGAGTCACGTGACATTGGCTGACAAGTCCGCTTTCAGCCCAAAGCGCGCATTTGCAGCCAAAACTGGCGCCAAACACATGCAACCAACACATGGGTATTTGTCAACTAGGTCCTCCAGTAGAGAGGTTAGAATAAGGCTACCAACTTTCTTCTGGGCCATTTTGTCCCAGACCTGAAAGCTACAGGGCTTATGCTTGAATGGAGGAATTTCATTTGCTGGAAAGGCTACTTAAGGTGCGGGGCGGGGCCTATTGGGGGAGGAGGCAATACTGAATTGAGGGTTGTACTATTCGGGAGTCCTTGTGCCCAGGATATCAATGTGGTGGTGCTTAGCCCCTACAGCGGTGAGTTGGGAGACCTCATGACCACGGCCGAGCCTTTGTTAGAGATGGCACTGCAAGAGATCGAGAACTCCACGCTCCTCCCAGGATATCGATTAAATGTGACTTCGGCAAAGAAAAGGTCTGGACGTGTGTGGACTTGTCTCTCTCTTTTTGTCAAGTGGTGCCCCAGGGCACTGTGCCACTCTGGCGAGCTGTGCTTCCCGTGCAGCTCAGGTACTTTTGGCCGACTCCAAGTGCACCCGCGAGGACTTTCACGGCATGAGCATGCGGCCTGAACCTGGGGCCTGGGGCCCCCAGTAGTGCCCTTCCAGTGCCCGACCTCTCACCCCTTTTTTGGGGAAGGGAGGGTTCCCCTACTAAAATAGACCACAGAAAAAAGAAAGGGAACCCTTATTCTAAGCTCTCTACTGGAGGACCTAGGTGAACGCCACGTGCGTTGAAACACTGTGTGCCATTGCTGCTCCCCGATTCTTTCCAGGGATCCTTCTTTCTAGAAAACCTCCAGAAACCTTTCTGGCTGAAGGCCTGAAAGCGAGCAAGGGTACATGCAGGCATCAGCCCGAAGCGTATTTTTTCCCAAACGGGGATGTATCTGTTCGAGTGCACAGTTGTTTGAGGTCACCCAGAACCCCAATAGCTCGATGCCGGGGCTGAGCGACGACTCTCAAGAGAAGGCACTTCTGTTGGGCAGATACTCGAATTGTTTCTCTTGCAGGGTCCATGCTACTGGAGAAGTCTTCCGCAACAAAGGCCGGAGCCTTTTGCTTCGTGCTGCGCTGATTGACTTGTTCTGAGTTGACACCTTGTCCATCCTACAAGGCAAAACCATCTATGGGGTGGTTTTGTACCTATGTTCCAAAATAACAAACAAACAGGAGCTTTTCTCACATTCCTGCAAAGACCACCAGCCATTTGTCAGCGCGATGCCGCCAATGCCTTGCAAAACTTAAGGATCTATGAGGATTAAGTTTGATCCTTGGCTGCCTTGAGTCTTTGAGCATTCCCAAAAAACCGCCACGCGAAGTCGCCAAAACAAAATCCAGACATCGGGCCCCAGCCTCGGGTGCCGAAAGGTCGCGACTCACACTTTCGCTGACGCCTCCAGGCGGTTTCCCTGTACTTCGTCCTTTTACCAACCAAAGAAGGTCAACCAAAAGACAGCCCAAATACATTGGAAGGCTTCCTTTTGGTTTGAGCTCTGGAGTGTGAGAGCCTCTGGATTTACAAGGTTAAGTTCATGAATAGATCAGGGGGTGTCCCCTCGTGGGGATTCAGACACAGCCAAATCCAATAAGACTTGCAGTCAGGCATGATGCCCTCTCAAAATAGTGGCCCCTTTGGGTTGGCGTCCTTTTCTTTTGGTTTCCGTTTAAATACCAAGGGCTAAGATCGTCCTCTACAATCGTGTTCCTTTCCTTCTGGCCCTCTTTGAATACCAACCACAAACCACCAGAAAACCTCAAAGTGCTATTTTTCCCATTATAGTAGAAATTGGTTGACTTTTTTTTGCCTTTCTTTTAAGTCCCCAAATCCCCGAAGACCCGTCAGTATCAGGACGCTACGGCGGCAGCGGTAGAGGCCTTTTACTCGGGGGACCCCAAGCACGCCATCCTCGGGGACGCCTGCAGCGACGGCTGCGAGGCCGTCAGCGACGTCTCCCGCTTCTTCAAAGTGCTGCAGGCGGGCCATCGATCGGCGCGATCGACGAGATCGATGGACGCGATCGGATTTTTCGGGGCTCCCGTCGGAGACGTGGGGCTGAGGCCCAAGCTCTGATTATTTGTTGCTAAACTATATATATATATATGCATATATTTGGCGGCTTTAGAGGGACGAGTCGAACACCCAGCCATTTTGGGGGTCGCCTAACAAAACCAGACACGGGTATGGGGGTGAGTTTGAACTGGGGACACATCTGGGGGGTTCATGTCTACCAACCACTTTTTAGGGGCTTGCCTACTCACATTCATGGCCGTATGTCGCTGTGCGCTGGTTTAAAGCACCTTTCTGGACAAGTTAAGGTGAGTTTCCGCCGGTGACTTTTTAAGGTTTTTTTTTACGGCACCCAGTCGGAGCTGCGCAATTGGAGACGGCCAGCTTGACATGTTCTCAGGCAAAGATGTGCTAGTTGGTCGCTTGGAGATAGAGAAGGTTGCTCTCTTTCGCAATCGGGATGAACAGGGCTGGTTGCAATACTTGTTCTGAAGCTTCGATTTCGACTTGCCCAAGTTTATTTGGCCCTCCGGAGAAACAGGAGAACGGCAAACAAGACCAACAAAAGATGTGCTAGCATTATGTATTTGCTGGCAATGCCCAGTGACTGGTGTTTGGGAGGCTCTTCTTTGCAGCCCGTGTTTCTCGTATGAAGGCTGCGCACAAACTGTAAACTTTGATTTGGGTGCCTCCGGAAATTTCAGACGTTGGCTTGAGTTGATCTGAGAACCCCTTTTTTGGTCACTATGGGCCGCGCCTAGTCTGGTGGGGCCGAGGGATGTAATCGTGTGGCACGCTCCGGAACCCATGATTCCAGTTGTACACGCTCTTTCTGTACTCGTGCTGAAGTATATGCAGAACATGGAGCAGAGAGCCGATAGCTGACTTCAAGGCCGCGTTTATGTGTCTTTTCTTCAAGGTTCCCCATTGTTGTGGTTCGGGAAATCAGCTTGGCGGTTCCCCACTTGAAGACTGACAAACCCGCCTCATTTTATTTTGGGAACCTCTGGGTCCTTTTGGTTTCCCTTTCAGCCCGAAGAATTGGACACCACTGAAAAGGTATGAAGAGTGTTGGCAGAAAGTGTTCCCTAAAACCAATCATGAAAGGGTACCCTCAAAGAAAGACACATCCGTGCAACTCACTGGACGATTGATTTTGAGGTTTCCACGTACCGGCTGGAGCGGTGCCGGTGTGAAACATCGGCGAATCGCTCCAGCCCTTTGATACTGTCCGAGTATCTCAGCCCATGAGACTCATCGCCCATGAGACTCATGCCCAAATATGAAAACTGACAACTAAATCTCCTAAAGAGGATGAACCACTTTTTCAGAGCCTCGAACTTCCAGGAGAAATGTGCCTTTTCCCGTCCACCCAAACCAACCACGACCGTCCTTCCAGTGGACGCCTCACTCGTCCTCGACTCATCGAGGTCTCTCCGGGCTGCGGCTCCACGAGCCTCAGCGAGCGGTCGCGGTATCCCTACCTCGCGCGCCTGGCGCCCTCCGACCGCTTCAAGCTGCAGGCCATCTTCGAGGCGAGCGGAAGCCGAAGTCCGCGGAAGGAAGCCCAGCGGGACGCCGAAAAACCCTGGGTTTGAAACCAGGTGTCGAAGCCGAAATGGATTTCTCAGGTGGCGCGAAATGGATTTGGTCCATCCACAGGTCTCCCAGCAATTGGTGAGAAAGCTTTCTCCACCGTCTTTTTTGGGGAAGGGAGGGTTCCCCTGCTAGACTACAGAAAGAAGTTGGTATTCCAACCTCTCAAATCTGGAGGACCTAGGCGGGCGCCGGCTGGAAAAATTCCTCGCAAGGGCCGAGGAAGGTGTGGCGATTTGGTGGGTGACTTTCCCTGAGTTCCGGAACTCGGACTTGAACGTCACTTTTTGGGTCTGGACCCTTTGAGGGGTAAATCAAAAAGTTCCAGGATTTGTTTTGGCCCATTTTTGTAAACGGATCTTTCTGCCTATTCTATGGCAAGGTCACCAATTCAGGGGTATACTGAGATAAAGGTTCTTTATATTATGCCAAGGGCAACGGGTTTTGATTGACATCAATGCTGGATTGTGTTGAAAGGATAGCCAAGAAGTAGGCATATTTTAGCGCAGCTCCGCAGTATATGATTAAGGATCTTCCTCAGCCCATGGAAGAACTGGAGCTCAGGATTGCTGCCAACTGAAAATGACAAGCCCTTTGGGACATCATCTTTTGCGTTTACAGTTGGATGGCGGTTTGCAGCTTTCCCCTGTTGTTTGAGTCGTCCCCGTAATACGGGAGTGAAAAGCCCTTTGTCTGGTTTTTATGGGATCCAGGTCATGAAGATGTTCAGCTTCAAGCGCGTGAGCCTGATGTACCAGAGCAACGAGAACTTGGCTCTCTTCCAAGACTTGGTGCAAAGAGACGTCGAGGCGGGGCGATCGGCAATGGGATTTTGCGGGTCCTTTCGGTTCCGGAACCGCGAGATGGAACGAGGCAGTTTCGAGTATATAGATGAGTTTGTCTGAGTTTGGAGCGGTTGCTTTCCATTCACCCTCTACAAGAGCCACAGGTTCAAATCCCCCAAAGCACATCCAGACCACCAATAAAGGGGTACCCGAGTAGAGGAACAAGGATGAACAGGCAAACATTCTCTGTGGATCATGAGAAAGGAAGTTCAGAAGGCAACCTAATTCACCCAGAAACATGAGTGCAAGAGCAGTGGCATCAGCTTCAAAGAGGTGCCTTCAAAGAGCCTCCGGAGCTCTGTACGCCAAAGGTGCGACACATTTTACCAGCGGGGCTTCGGCCTTGAAGAACATGGTGCAAGAGAAAAATAAGGCGCACTCAAGTAATTCGAGCTTGGATATGATCACAGGTCCCGTGACTGAGAAAAAAAAAGAAAAAGCGTAGCGCAGGCGAAGAAAAAGGCTGGAAACCGCTGAATGAACTGCTGGAAAAAGAGCTGAAGCAAGAACACCCCAGGCCCTGGCAGCGAGAACACCGCAGCGGGACACCTCGATTGAACGTGACGTGAAGTACGGTAAGATGTGGCTGTGGCTCAAACAACCTGGTAGGTGGAAACATGGACCAAACCCTGTGTAACCCCTCCTGTTTAATTTTGAGCCACACCCATATGATGATTTATACGCAATGTTTCATCAGAATTTCCTTGATACTCACTGGTGGTGTCGACTTGTTATTGGAGGCTCAAGATGGACCCCTTTTTGACTGGCAGGGAAGCCAAAAGGAAGCGTTGCCATTTTAGGGGGGCCCGTTTGAGAAGTCGGGGACCATAGGGTTTGCTCTATTGGAAGGAACCACGCGAAGTTCAGGCGGGGTACGCCTGGATCACGCTGTTGACCGAGCGCATTGTCAGCATCTCCGATGCTGAGCGAGCTACAGCAGCGATCCAGACCAGGGACTCACGCCGCTCGCGCAGGGATTGTGGCTGAAGGTCCATCAGATGAGTATGGGTCAAACATAGTCGCCACCAGGGGCCAGGGGACCTTAGATTTTAGTCCTTGTTTCCATTTACCAGGGTTCCATTTCGGGTAACTATGTTTGACCCACACCCAGACGTATCCACACGCAGATGTATTTGACCCACACATACCACACAGATGTATCCGCACCCAGATGCATTCAAATGGCTAGAATTTTTAACAATGAAGCCCCTCCCGAATGGTTGGTGGAGCTTGTTCACTGCGAGTTGTCTTGGGTGTTTCTACGTAGCTCCATGTACACACATGTTTGGTATCGTTGCGAGCTGTTCATCTTCAAATGTCTAGCACGACTAGCTCTACACGGTGTGTTCCACCTTAGACCAGTGACTGCTCTGTTTGCGTGATTGTTTCGCAACGGTTCGCTCCGTTTGGTGATTGAAATGGACTGTTGGTTTCCGCAGGAATTTAATGGAACATGGCTAGGTCCCCCAGTAGTGCCCTTGTACGCTTTTCTGGAGGGTTCCAGACAACAGGGTGCCAACTTATTCGAGCCTCTCTACTGAAAAAGCCTAGATGGTATACATGACCAGGAGTTGAAGCCCGAAGTGAGCAGCCGGTGGTTTTTTGTCCATGCTTCAGCTCGGGGGCTTCGATTCCTCTCGGAGGCTCCCGGTTTGGCCGTGCAAGGCACCGGGCCACCGGGGGTATCAGGGGGGGTTCGTTTTTGCCATGCCGATGGTCCAACGAAAAAAATATAAAAAATATAAAATATTTAAAACAAAACACGGAAGGCGCGGGTAGTATTGTTGAATTTTAAGAGATTGTAGCCAAGCCTTGTACCAGGTTGCACACAGTCCATTTAAGCGAACTGCATCCAGCACATTCACCCGTTCTTGTCGGGCTTTCTCATTCCGTATATCTCATGTATGACACAAAGTCTAAGGGCACAGCATGTGTTGACAGAATGGATGACTTCTGTGACACTTGTTTGTTGCTGGTGTTGCACCTGCTGCTGCCTTGTTTGCATGTCATCTCCTGTCACCCTGCAACGCACTGCCCATACAAAAGTTGAGCTTGAGGTTGCAAGCACTTACAGCCCTTTCGCCATCCTCTGGATGAGAACGCAGGTGTGCGCGGTCAATTTTGGACCCGGGAAGCCTTTTACATCATTAGAAGCTTAAAAGGGGCGTGGCAATAATGGATCTTGGTCAAAAGCATAGCTGCACCAATAGATATTGCAGAAACCACAAGCGGCGTGCAAAACGGATTCTAGGAGGTGGCGAGACGGTCAGACAAATCAGCAGCATCCCCATTGACTGAATTCCAAACCTTCTTTGCCTGAGCTTTCTTGGTCTTCTCAAGCCTCATCAATCCTTTGCATAATTTTGCCAAGGGATGTTAGAACTGAATAACTTTTTGCCAACAAAGTCGGGTTTTCCGTATACCACTCAAAGTTATTCACTTTGAGCGGGGCTTCGCAGATTTCGCAACCGAGAATCCTTCTAATCCTCCTCCTTCGTGCCCTGGTCTTCCTCGCTCGTTTGTTTTCGCAACTCTGTTGCCCAGTGGGTTGCTTCCTGTTCTTCCTTTTTGGGGGTAGGGTTCCCCTTTGAACTCAACCAATAAAAAAGGGTGCCTTTTTTTCCCATGGCCACTGGGCATCTGAGGCAAAGGGATCGTGTGTGTCACAGATTTCGCTGGGATTCTTCGGCGCCCGAATATAGAATGAGACCGAATGGGGCGCGTGGTGAAACCAGGGACCTACAATTCCACTTCTGCTGCAATGATTCCATGGTTAATCCCAATCATCTGGCTGTGGGTCAAAATCCATGGGATCCCATTTTGGGGTAGGTGCACCACCCATTTTAGAACTTATTTTAGTGTGGATTGGGATGTTCACTGGGGGTACGATTTGGCTTTTGACCCATGGCCATCTAAGTTCCGTCTTAGAGATTGGTCACTACATCCCAGCCCATGCTTCAGATGTTTCTCCTGACATGGAGCCTGGATTCTCCTTTCCCATGGACCAGCCCGTAAATCACATGGCCAAAGAGTGAGGCGGGCCAAGGTCAAAGAGCTGTCGCCGTTGAGAAGGAAACAGTTGTACTCAAATGAAGGGTTCAATCAAGCAGTAGGTGAAGGATACCATCATTGCGCACACATGCATACATGTTTGTGGATTTCTGCACGAGCACTTTTTGGCCACCAAGCTAGCAGCTTTGAAGGGGTGTCGTCCTTAAAATCTGGGACCCTTGTTAGGAAGCCTGGTGCCGCCTTGTGACTTGTGCCGCATTGTCAAGAGGATACGTCCCGTTCCGAGGCATCACAGTGCTGTCCTTGAACGAGGAAGCTGGTGCCATGCTGTTGTGCCAAGCCTACCTCAAGGGCATGGTCTCCCCGGACTTCGTATGGTTGCTGCCTAGACCGCACTCAGACGGTCAGACGTTGCCATGGGTTGCATAACCTATGGCGATCCCATTTTGGGGTGGATGAACATGCATTGGCCACCTATGAAATGATGTTCACCAAAAGTTTCCTGGGTTTTGACCCACATGAGCTTGCTCAAAACCGGTCGAGTAGAAACTCAGGGGGGTGCCTTCGTCGCCTTTTGAGTTCGAAATGCCGTGTGAAGAGTTGCACATTGGATGTGCCGGAACAGGGTTTATCCAACAGATTCTGTGATACGAGGGAATCCCCTCTTTATGTGGGGTAGACTTAGGATACATTTTACATTTTGCCAGGAACTCAAAGTGAAGGAAACAATAAAATATACATTCTACAACTGGGCCTAACTCTAATCATCATGGGGGGTTCGTCTTTGGGACCCTTTTTGTTGTATCGCGGAAGTGGTCATAACATCGGATGCAGGCTGCCGCAACTGAGCTGCATAGGCTGCAAGCTGCCTGCCACGCACGCAAGCGGCGTTACCTTCAGCGTCACCTTTCACATGCTTCCCCCGAAGGTATGTCGCAGGCATCTTATGTCTTCCCCGGAATTAGCTCCCCTTGTTTTTGTGTTTTTTTGCTTTTTGGGGTCCCTGTGTTTCCACTAACCAGGCAATAACTTGTTTTTTTGCTGGGGTCCTAATTCCAGCCAAGATGTGATGCACTCTTTTTGTTGGCAAGCTTGGTGCAGTAGCAGAATCACTTTGCTGCGTTGTCTTTCGTGGAAGGGTTTGTAATCCCTTGAGCAACGCAAGGCTTTGAGTTGCTAGGGAGCAATAGGACTCGATGGGACATTTCCCCTTCGTTTTTTCCTTTTTTTTCTTGAGCCCAAAGTGACATGTCCGGAGTGGGACCATGAGCCCATGCGCCTGTGAGTCTATGAGCCGGCGGGCGTTTTTTCTGCCTAGGTCCCCCAGTAGCGCCCTTTCTCACCGCTTTTTTCGTTGGCAGGGTTCCCCTACTAAAGTAGACTACCGAAAAAAGTTGGTACCCGTATTCTAACCTCTCAAATCTGGAGGACCTAGATGCCCGAGGCTCTCTTCTGGCAACTGGGGCCAGAACTTCCCAGAACGCGCGAACCACCCGTGCCTTGGTCGAGGAACCCTCTTGAAAGAAAGGAGTCCCGAGCCCAAAGGAAGCTCAGCTTCCACGCACAGCTCAAGTCCGGCAAATCATGTTTGTGTATTTATTATTCTTGGGGTGAGACTGCAGGTATGGAGAACACTTCGACCCAAGTGTTGCTGCACATAGGCGCTGCTTGCTTCCAGGTGGATCCAGCAATGTTTCTTCCACCACTACATAGTTGTCGTGTTGACTCAGTTATTTGCCCACGTTCGGATTGCGAAGCAATAGTTGTAATTGACATATGTTCCTTTTACATCGTTACCCATGTTGATGTCTTCCGTGGTTTGGCCCAGAGTCAGCTGTGAAAGACCTCCTTGCCGACGCGATAGGTCACAGTTGACTTTCAGAGCGCCAGTCACTCAGTAAACTCTGCAAACCACCGGAGGCCCTTGGCAACACAGGCCTGCCATTGAGTTGCATGAAACGGCCCGAAACAGAACACAAGGGACCTGGTTGCGTTCAGATCAGGAAGCTCAAGCTGCCAATTGTTACTGGGATACGATCAGAATATGTTTGGCACGGCTTGGTTTAGTAATGTTGACCGAATCAACCCCATCACTTGGGAAGCACCCCCCTATTAATAAACGGGAGTTGATTAATATGGGATCAACAATGTGTGATCAAAGTAGCATGAAGCACACCCTGCTCCAGATGCTCCCTAAGGGATGCCTCTACCCCGCCCAGACCCCCAGTTGTGGCATCAGCGGAGCCCGAGGTGCCAGACTTTGAATCTGCTTGGTATTGGTTTCTACTTGTCGAAAAAGACCGGAAGCGTCGTAAAACGAGTCGGCGAGTCGGCGGGGCGGTCCTTCCCGGAAGCCAGCTTCATAAACAAATCCACGGGTGAAGACAAATCCGAGTGACTCGTTTGTGTTGCTGTTTGTTGTTTCTCGGCAAGGAGCGGATCAGGGGCTTCTACTGGGTATGTATTATATGTTGGACATATTATGCAAACCTGCGCACAATGGCATGCATGCATACTTGCATATTATATATGTAGTCATTGTTTGCGTATTGATGTTGTGATTCAGTTCGTGTGTGGGTGTGTGCTCACCGGGTCTCACAAAGCATTCAATGTGCCCCCATCATGTGCTTGGCCATTTTGCGAAACGTGAGTTTTGGTGCGCAACACGTGTACACGTGTGCGTATGTATGATTGAAGCACGTACATATTTGCATTGACTTGCAGATTCTTACTGATTCTCGCAGGGCTGTTCCAAGAAGCTGATGAACCGATCTGGAAGCTGATCTCATGCCAACCTGGTTGGGAACGGCCCTGGCTCAGTTGGGTGTGGGTCAATATTAAATCATCAGGAATTGGACCGCATATTTTTGTCCATGTTTCCAATTACCAGGGTTCCATTTTGGGGTGTCCCTATTTTTGACCCACAACCAGTTTTGAAACTCGAGCGAGTTGCTTCGAGTCAGGCACATCAACTGCACCGCGCCTCAACTGCTTGCCGCAGCGCGGGGCCTGATCGCGGCGGAGTTAGGACCCATGCTACAGAGCTCCTCCGTGCAGCTCTTCCGCACGCGCGAGGAACTGGCAATCCAGAGTTGAAGCGGAACAATCGCCTCGATTTGTTTCAAAATGCAATTCATGATTCGGCTCGGCTCATGAAAATAGGGCAATTCATTGGAACGGTTTTGGCTCAGCTTTCAGCTTGAAAATGGAACCCCTGGTTTTTTGTACGTCTGGAAGCCTAGGCATGGCCTTTCCGGTCGACCTCTCGCAGACATCCACAGCCAGTATGCCGCACAGTGCCAAAGCTTTGGGAGCCTTGCCTTGAGGAGTCTGGTGAAGGCATGTTTCTCCGGTCATGAAGGCATGTTGTTTAATACATTGGTGTGGCTTTTGTAAGCTTGTTGTAAGCTTGGCTCATTTAGGGTTTAATACATTCTTTGGACCATCACTTTGGGTTCTCTGTCTTTTGTAGGGTTGGACCCCCCCTAACGTTGCTTTGGTTTTTCCTTTTGGCTTCACCTTAACTCGGTGGCTCGCAGCCTTTTGGTTTTTTAGAGTTTCGTGGGGGTTTCCATTTAAGCGGTTCGCCAAAAAAAGAAATCGAAAAAATAGCATCGGCCCGAGAAGCCACAGTCCAAGGGTCTGGGGCTATGAATTGTCGTGGCAGTTTTGGTGCAGCGTTTGGAGTTGTTGTTTTATGCACACAACATATTGGGAACACTCTTCAAATCGAGTGAGGAAACCCCCAAATGCTGGCGCAGAGAGTTTCTGATCGGAAGCATCCCGTGGCCTGATTAGATGCATGGGCGGTGCGCGTTTGTAGGTGGAACCCAGCTCCTTTTTGGAAACAAAGCACACCTAGCAACTTCAAGTTGTCAGTGAGGGGGTCCTGTCCAAGAGAAGCAGACCATTCCACATGACCAGCATTTGTATACCCAGCGAACTTCGCATCATGAGAATGGTTCTGCATTTGCAAAATCTAGCGACGCACTGCCTCGGATTTTTTTTTTCAATAAGAGGCCGAAAGATTTCTGATTATCTGAGCACAGACCAGATTGTCCACCGGATTCCCTGAAGGTTTGCAGAAAGGGGCATGATAATGGCCAACAAGATTCTTCCTGCTACAAGAAAAATGCATGGTATCATAGGTGAATTCTAGATCGGCAGGAGCTTGCTGCGTAACCCACCGAGAGTCACGACGACCGCTTGCACACCGAATATGCATTTCTTGCCGTCAAAGCACAGCTAAGAATTGGCTCTTGGTCAGCTAATGATGAGTCAGAATGACATGTAAAGGAACGCAGCATTGAGAGAAGGCTGCGACTGTGTTCCATCCGTTCCAAAGGAGTTGCCTTAGATCCCTTGACAGCTAACTGTAGCGAGGATTTATTGGCATTACACAGACACCACTGTCTCTGTGCACATTTGTTTTGCCAGCCCAACAGTCTTATCCAACCATAGACACCTTCACAATTCTGGTTGTTTTGGTACAAACAGATGATGGTCCGGAGGTAAACCAGGTGGTTGTAATGTCTACCAGGGGTCTCTCCATCTATTTCCCCAAAAGCAGTCCGGACCTCTGCATTCTTGGAGCCTAGATCCCCCAGTAGTGCCCTTTCTCACCCCCTTTTTGGTTGGGAGGGTTCCCCTACTAAAATAGACTACAGAAAAAACAAATAGTGTACCAACTTCTTCTAACCTCTCAAATCTGGAGGACCTGGGAGCAGTTTCCCCCGAGCTGTCCGGACCTCTGCATTTCCCCAAAGTCCGCCAGGAACGGCACCGGGCGCTGCAACTTCATTTGGACGCCCTACTTCTACGACGGTCTATGGCAGCTGGCCAACGTTTTCCACAGCCACCTCTCGGCCAGCAGCCAGTCCGGGCCTCGATTTGGGGTCGAGCTCGGTCGGTTGGTCGTTTTGGGTTCGGTGGCCCCCTCTGTGTTTCTCTTTCTTTCTTTTTTGGGTTCAACGCTTGTTTTTTTTGTTAACTTAGGGGGAGGTTCAAAGGAACATCAAAGGGAAAAGCACGTGGTGTGTGTTTCGTTGTCCCCAAAAGACGCTCATTTGATGTTTCACAGGTTTCTGAGGTGTCCCCCCACTGAAAAGGACTATAGGTGCCGGTGACTGTTTGCGGAAACGGAATTGAGAAGTGACCAATGATCTCCTTGTGATGTGTGCATACGTGTACTTTTGCCAAGCAACATGCTATCACCCAGTCTGCTTTTGTGCATTTGGTGTCTGGAATTCCAAATGTAGTTGGCAGTGACAAAGCTTGCTGCGATAGGTAGGGAATGACCCAGGGTTTGGGAATGAACCGTTTCGGGATTCCCTTAAAAGAAACCATACTGTGGATGGACGAAATCGTGCACCATCTAAGAAACCCTGGAATGATGATTCGCCTGTATGGATCAGTAAACAATCAGTAAATAATGGTTTTGCCTGCTTTCCAGGTGGTGCGAAATGGATTTTGTCCATCCACAGTAGGGCATGGTTTATAGGGGTTCTTCCAACTCCATTCCCTGCCAATCCCCGCTGCCAGGCTTACCGGCGACGCGGCCCAGGAGGCGCTATACAACATCTCCTTGCAGCAGGAGACCGGCCGAGTTCTTTGGGGTCCGTCACAGACAGACACCCCCCTGAGCTGCGGTGTTGTTTCTTCTTTCGGTTGGGGACCGGAAATGGAGCACATCATTTACATGGGGATTTATCTCCACCAGCCACTTTTGAGGGGGTTCCCTATTTAAATTCATGGCCACATGGCTGTGGCTCAAAATATCTCAAAATGCAAGAAACGCGGTCCTAGTCTCTGGTTCCATTTACCGAGGTGCTATTTGTGAATGTGAGCCGTGTCTCCAAAAAAGGAGACGAGTACCATGAGCTCCACGAAGTTCCGTGGGCCTGAGCTGTATGAAAAATGTCGACATTGAACGCGAGAGGATTGAACTAGATCATGGGGGCTTAAGAAGGCCTTAGGGCTTATTTGGCCTCCCTCCCCCCCTCCCTCCCCCCCTCCCTCCCCCAGCCCCCATGAGAAGAGGGGTTCTTGGCGTAAGCGCGCAACTTCAAGTGCCAAATGCCGGCTTTCGTGGGCTTGGGGCTTTGCGAATTATCATCGTGAGGCGCCAAGCTCTCACAGCAGGTTTTTCCTATCAAGTTTTCTTCGTGCAAGCTTCCTGAGCCAGTTTTCTATGAAGGTTCTGTTTGAGCAAGCTTGTTTGCACGAGTTCTTTGAGCAAGCTCTCTATTCAAGTTCTTTGCACTCCAGTAATCCAGTGCAGGAGCATCTGCCGGAAAAACCCTTCAACGCTACTTTCGGAAAAAATGACGCTTCCCCATGTTGGAGCCATAGCTGCGAAAGCGTGTATTTCACGCTACCTTGGCACATAGAAGCTGCAACTTTCGATCTGCAAAGCTGTGCTTCCTTTTCTTCGTATCTCTCATAATTACTGCACTTTTAGAAGAGCGCGGACCAGGGAGGATTCGAGCCCGGCACTCGTCGTTGCCAAGAGCCGGTGCGAAGAACACGAGGCGTACCCACGCAGAGGCTCGCGCAGAACGCAGTTTTGGAAGATCGGCCCGCATAGGCTCCCCCCGCTTTACGCTTTAGTTTAGAAAGGCGAGAATCGCTGAGTGAGTTATTTGATCAAGTTGTCTAAGCAGCAGACCACAAGGCTCTGAGCTAAGTTGGTCCGAGCAAGTTCTCTGCGCAAGTCGTGTGGGTCCTCTCGGCCAGCGCAAGGGGAGCCCTGCGCATGCGAAGCGGAGAACAAGGTGAGCCCGGAACCCAAAAGTAACGCCTGAATCCGCATATGCCATTGTCATTCCTTGCCCACAACCCAATGAGCATGCGCTTGAGGCCAAAACACATGCCAGCAAGCGGTTGCGCAGCAATGGGCTGTTTGCGGGCCATGTGGCTGTGTGTCTGAACTGGGACCTGTGGCTGAAAGTTTGGCAGCAGGGCATTTCAAAGGGTGAAATGGAAGCCATATAGAAGCTTAACCTGTGGAATCCTCAGGTTGGAAACGCCACTGGGGACGGATCTTACAAAAAAGGAGCCCTTTCCGTTGTTACCTTCAGGCGCGCGCAATTCCAAGAATTCAGCGGAGCCGGTGGGAAAGGACTCACAGGTGATCCCAAGATACATAGGAGATGCTCTGCGTAAGCTTCGAGTTGGGACAGCTTCTGCCCACTAAGCTTTGCTTGTTGATGGTCTATCCGAGGGGCCCATGGCGGGAGCAAAAATTGAGCAACAAACACGGGTCGCAATGAGTTGGGACGACCTCGGCAATTCCGAGTTCCAGACCTAAATTTGCGGTGCTCGCGATAAAGTCTACAGTGAAGCTTCAGAGATTACGAGTAAGGATTCGTGGCGAGTAAGCAACACTTGGGAGGCTGGCGCCAGAGTGTGGCTTGGCGGGATCTTGCTTTTGGATGCTTGTGGGATTTGCAACGCGCTTGAATGGGTGGAGAACGTTGCTGCGTTGGGGTAGCTTCAATTGACGCAGATACCTACCGCAGATCCGAAGTTGCTTGGGACGAGAAGCGTCGCAGGAAACTGGTGTAGAAGAGGTGAAATGTGCGCGAAATAGCCAATTTGGTTGTTTAAATCTATCCTTCGTCCAATGGGTATGGTATTGGTTTCCCTTGTCATGACGTCCTATGGATTACTTGGAAAATCGGGGTGTTGAAGAACCCATCCTGTTCAGAGCTGGCAGGACTACCTTGGCCTCAGCGGCCAAGTGCGTTATTTCGACTCAGAGGCGATGCACAAGGTGGGGGCGGGTGATCGAGATGGCACCATCCTCCTGCGGCAGGCGGGACATACAGCGCCCTGTGCGCAATGACTCTTGCGCATGTGTCCGGTCGTGTGCGCGTGAAGCTGCGTGGCTTTGTGGCCCGGTGGCTTTCGCTGTGTTGCTGTGTTGCTGTGTCGGTGGCTGTTTGGGTGGCTGGCTGGCAGGCTGGCAGGCTGGCTGGGCGGGTGAGTGGGTGTGTGTGTGTGTGTGTTCTGCCGCTGGGTGTAAAAAAACACTGCGCACAAAAACACCACGCTCAGCCTTGTGCCACTTTGAAGATATATTTGGACAGTCCTCGGTTGTATATAAATGTGTCACGGGCATCTTTGGCTCGATCCTGTGTGGCAGGCTACTATGCTTTCAAGATATTTGAGTATCTCACTAGACGTGCTGCCGGATCGTGTTGTCTCTTGTCACCCACTGCCATACGGCCGAACTTCGAGCAGCGCTTGTTCATGGCCCTGAAAAAGGTCATGAATGGGCCCGTAGTCCGCACCAACAGTCACAATTGATGACACTTAATGGCCTCACAGGGGCCATTGCTCGAGATCACCTTACAGCTTCAATGAGCTCCTTTCAAAATGGTCGCTGGACAGAATCCCCACATCTTCCATTTGCTTAAGAAGTATATGTGTCTCTTCCCCTGTTGGTTTTAAAGGAAGATTGTTTTTGTTTTTGCCAGGGGACTTCAGCAAATTTAATGATGCCAAAAGCATCTTGCACGTTGACAGGTGGTTGGGCCTTTGGGCGATGAGTTCCAAGAGCTCGCGTACTGGACACTGGGCAAAGCAGGTTCTGGGCATAGGGGACGAGCTGAGCTCACCGAGAGGTGATAAACGAGCTCACCCACACTTCGCAAGCAGATCCTCACATTAGCTTTTTGTCCTTGGTTCTTTCGGAGGCAAACCTAGACAACCGGCGCTATGTTTGCTGGTCCAAGCCATACTAGCTGCTGTTCCTGTACCGCTCGATTGGAAGCAAATTGATGACGGTGAGCAACACGTGTGACTTTGACAGTATGGTTCACCATGCTGTTTTGTGGGCGTTCATATGCAGAAAACAAGCAGTCTCAGGAGAAGTTCTAGATTTAACTGCGCGCAGTACAATTCCATGAATCTCCGAAGATTATAAATTTGGTACTCGCTCTGGAGAGCCGTTTATATATATATATATATGTATGTATATATGTGTGTTTGGGTGCCTGCGTATTTGCACCTAGTGCTTTTGAGAAAGGTTGTTTTTAAGTGAAAAGTCCGCCGAACACTTTTGAAAAGCCGGTGACTCGTGTATCGCTGGAACTTGGAATTCACCGAGGACGGGTCAGGGCATCACTTGGAAGGCAGACATCGTTTGGGGCGACCAGTGTCTTGGCAATCAGCGGCGATGGATGGGTGGTGGGTGTGGTGTGGTTTGACCCCCCCTTTGGTTGGTCCTCCAGCTAGGTGCCCTTTCTCACCCCCTTTTTTGGTTGGGAGGGTTCCCGAACTAAAATAGACTGCAGGAAAAAGAGTACCTTATTCTAACCTCTCTACTGGAGGACCTAGTTTTGGTGGGTCTTGAGGGGAAAGCAAAAGGAAAAGAAGCAGTTTAGGGGTTCCTTAGAGACAACCCAAATGAGGCCAGACGTGCTCAAGGTTCACACAGTGAATTTGATGGGGACGCACATCCCAACCTAAATGATGTCCACCAGAGGGTCCCTAATCAGATGCTTCGCAAAGCATGTAAGCTTCTTGAAAACCCCCGGCTGCATAGACAAGTGTTCAGAAACTCAACCGTGAAATTCGGACCTTTCGGTTTGAAAGGTCCTTCCGAAGGAAAAGAGAGTAGCGGGTGACACTTTCGGATCTCAAGTTCTGGGGACCGAATCAAATTCCTTCACATGACAATAAGGCAAGAGGAACAGGGCTCCTTAAAAGATACATTTTGCCCATTTGAAACATGGCATTTTCCACCAACATAAAGGGAAACCACCATTTACAAGGCAATGTTCAGGTGTATAATGTAAGGATCCCTGAGGAAGTGTGTTCTAGATCGAAGATCAAGCTTGGTAGAGAGGTGCAAGAAAGAGAACTCTTCTGAATTCCTTCTATCCAATGGAATTCATGCCCGCCAGTGTGCGTCCACTCTGGCAAGCCCTCCAAATAAACAGCTCACGGAGATCATTGTCGACCCCGTATTCATCCAGCTGGCCAGCTGGTGGATGATCTGGGGGGCCTTTGTTTTTCTCAAAGCGAGGGTCGTTACTTCGGTGCATTTTGCTTGGATGTTAGGACTTTAACTTTTTGCAACTAATGGGTTTTCCATAAAACCACAGTTATTCACTTTTAGCAGGGGAGCAGAAAGCAACCGCGGTTAGAGAGGGTCGTTCTGGTTTTCCCCGCTTCCGATTTCCGCGAGGCGAGTGGCGTGCAGCGGTGGCAGCTGCAACCTCACCGGGGCGGTGGTGCCTTTGGATCGGGGCACCTGCGCTGCAGGCCGCATCTTCGTGGACGCCTTAGGCTGCCAAGCCTGTCCTACCGGCAGGTTCGAGGAGGCGCGAAAGAGAGAGTGATCAGTGATCAATTCAGCGCCCCCCAACCCGCTGAAACACACCCCAACAAACTGGGGGGGAGTCAACAGGGACAAACCTAAAAACAAACTGGAGGTCAGAGTTGAGTCAACTCAAGTAGCTTAATTTTCTTTCATGCTGCTTTAGTATTGCTAGTGTTGCTGGGTGGTGCCATAAGCTGACTGACAGGTGCCGGCGTCAAGCAAAACTTGTTTGCATTTACTCCCCCTTTTTCTTTTCAGGGCGCCTCCCCGTTTTCTACTCGCTGCCCAACAGGAGGGGGTGAGGGAACTTTCTGAGAATGTATCGGGCCAAAAAGGGGGGGGGAAATACATCATCACAAAGCAAGAAGTTGGAGCAACATGTCAAAAGCGTCAAGAAATCAACAGGTTCAATCGTCGGTGTTTGACAAGCTGAGGAAAACACAGAGCAAAAGGTGTGCGAGTAGGGGAACAATAGGGATATGCCAGGAACAGGATGCCAACGTGCTAGGAAGAGAAAGCGCAAGCAGAACCAAGTACTTTTCCACATGACACTGATCACAGGCCTTGGCTTACTCCGTCCGAAGGCATGCGCACGAGTTGAAGCATGCTGCGCGCTGCGAATTCTATTTAAGCATGCGGCTGCAGTCGTGGTGGCAGAGCGTCTTGTTTGCTGGGTAGCACGTTGCAGAGAGGCTTGTGAACAAAGAAGAGCGCGTAGATGCAGCAGGCAGTGAAGAGGTAACTAGAGTAATAAAGAAAGCTGGGATCAGCAATAGCTTCACCGCCGTTGACCACAGCGTAAAGATCCCTAGATGGTCACGGACTTGCAAGCAAACCGGAACTAAGCAGATGAACGCTGGCCGGGCAGGAGGGCCGGCGGTTTCGGCACAAGTCGGCCGATTCGGCTGCTTGAAGACAAACCTGGGCGGGTGGTTTGAGGGAGCCCGTTCTGGGTTAGTTTATGACATCAGCTCGGACCCCAGCTTCTTTTGGTGTGTTTTTTGTGAACAAAGCTCCCCAAACCCGGACATGTTCCGCGCCTCGGGGCTTTTCCAGAGGTGTTCCGCACCCACCGTTGTTTTTCTTTTTTCTTTTTTTTTCCTAATCTTACTTCCACGGGTTTTTTTTAGAACCTGCCGCGGAAAACGCGAAAAACAACGCGGCAGGCGGGGCAGTGCGTGAATTGCCCCGCCGGGAGCTTCGCGGCCTCGCCGGGCCTCGCCAGCTGCGAGCCGTGCCCCGCGGGCAGCGCGGTGAACTTCGCAGGGGCGGAGGTCTGCGAGGTGTGCACGGAAGGCGAAGCGGGGGGTGGTGGCGGTTTTGGACCCCCTCCTTTTGGTTGATCTTGAGGGGAAAGCAAAAGGAAAAGAAGCATAGGTGTCCTTTTCGGTTGATTTGGTCGAAAATTATTGCGGGCGATTCCTGGTTTACCTGGTGGTTTTTCTCATCTACCAGGGAAACCCATCTATTTTCCCAAAAAGGGTTACTTGGGAATGAACCTATTGGGTTTTGGAAGGGTTCCCTTAAAGGAAACCATAGGGGAGGCCCGGGAAAGCCAAAAACTGGCTGGTGCTTACTAGGAAATGACCGAGAAGAGAAGGGTTTTGGGAAGGTTCTCGGGAATGGGCAAAGGGTGTCCCTTCAACGAAACGATAGGGCTCGATTGTTTATAAGGGTTCCTACGTCATATTGACGCTTGCTAGGTGGTCAAAAGACCACCCGGGGATGGTCATCAACCAATCAGCCCTGCAGGGATTTTAGAGGGTAAAGCGATTGGATTTTCCATTGGCCCCGCCAAAAGTGAGAGACTTTTTGCAGAGGGGTCAACAGCAACCAATTCTGAGGGTATACCTTCTGTTGTCCGGCTTTAAAAGGAAACCCAAAGCACAACACGTGCAGGTTCCTTATTTAAAGACGTTGGGACACAGATCCGATGGCCATCGAACTACAATCTGATCGCAAATGTGGGTGCTTCTCACAGGGATCCGTCCTGTTTGGGCGATTGGCAACCTCAAAGGGGGATCCGTCCGTTGGAATTCCCATTGCCACGGTCAAAAGGCGGGGGGCACTGGCACACTGTCGACACTGGGGAACCACCATGACCCTAGGAGTTTTGACCATGGCCCACATGGGTTTTCACCATGGCACATGTGCATTTGTATGAGTTGGAATCGGTGTTCCCTTTGGTTTCCCTAAAGCCATCCAGCTTAAAGAGCACCCTCAAAAGAGGAGAACGCAAAAACGAGCCATCCATATCTCCTGGCCCGGCGTCGACACTGCATGCCTTTTGACCATCAACCATATCTGAGGTTCGGAGAAAACATTGAACCCCCGTCCGCGTTTCTGCTGCAAACGCCCGGGTTTCCACGGCGACCTCTTTTTCTTTTTTTTTCACGGGGCTATGAACTCAAAAAGGGCATATATATATATTATTATTATTGTTATGATTATTATTATTATTATTATTATTATTATTATTATTATTATTGTTATTGTTATTGTTATTGTTATTGTTATTGTTATTGTTATTGTTATTGTTATTGTTATTGTTATTGTTATTATTATTATTATTATTATTATTATTATTATTATTATTATTATTATTTTTTTGTTTACCCACGACCCACGAGCTCACTCGCGTGGCGAACTGAGCAGGGCACTACCAGAACGAGACGGGGGCCTTGAGCTGCCTGCGCTGCCCAGTGAGCTTCTACGGCCCCAGCCGCTCGCTGCCCAGCTGCTTGCCGTGCCCGGAGGGGAAGACCACCGCCTACGAGGCGAGCCACGCAGCGCGCAGCGCACGCGCCACGCTGCGCGGCAAGCGCGGTGGTTTGTGGCCGCGTTGTTTGAGTTGGGGACCCTTTGTGGGTGTCACTTAACCCGAAAGGCGGGCGTGACACACGTAGACGGTTTAGGGTTTACATGTTGATTTAGTCTTGGTTTAGGGTTGGTTTAGGGCTGATCGTCTGATGTGTCACGCCCGGCGGAGGAAGCTTTTGGGGGAACTACCATCATTTTGGGGGGGTCATCGAAAAGGACTAGCCCCATTTCGATTTGTTGATTTCCCTTGTCTTTTTTTCGTCAAGGTTCCAGAAGGAGAAGCTTTCATTTCCAGCTAAAGTGGACGGACCAATTGTCTGTTTCATCCGGCTGAACCGGTCGGCGACGAAAAGTCCAGTTGGACACTTTTCAGCTGAATCGGTGAACAGTCCATTCCGTGCGGCTTTTGATGTTTCGTGTACTTCTTGCAGCGCTTTGAACTTTGTTTCTTGCGCTTTGTTTGGTCGGAGAGATCCTCTGCGAGCAAACTCGCTTGCATGAGTTTGCACAACATGGGCCGGGGGCCCGGTGCGGCGGGTCACGATGCCTGGCAACAATCAACCAAACACCCCAAGCACTTGTTTTCGGGCCGTACCACTTGGTCAAAGGAACCTTAAAGCAGCATGGGGGGTGCTCCAAATGCTTATGAGTCAAAATTACACCATCAGCAAAAACCGCGTTTTTTTTGGTCTTTTCCATTTACCAGGGCAACCCATTCTGGGGTTACCCTATTTTTTTTACCCACCCAAATCGCTTGAGCCGCTTTTAAAGTTCCGGCCCGAACACCGAAGAAAAGTGACCTGACAGGCATGGCGAGCGAAGTCCGTATCTGAAACCCAAGGAG